GAGAATTCTGCTATAATTCTGATGGGTGTTCCCTTGTAAGTGATCTGTTTCTTGTCTCTGATGGCTTTTAATATTCTGTTCTTATATTGGATTTCTGGAATTTTGATTATTATATGCCTGGGTGTAGCTCTGTTTGGGTTGTAGGTGGCTGGGGTCCTGTACCTCATACATCTGAGTATCTTTACCTTTGCTAAATTAGGGAAATTCTCCTGGATTATTTCTGTGAATAGCCTTTGTAGTCCATTTGTTTGTGTCCCTACTTCTTCTTTTATGTTCTTAATTCTTAAGTTATAGATCCTCTTGTCATCTTGAAGCCTTTGTATTATTGCTGTTTGTTTTCTTGTTATTTTAAAGAAGTTTTTCATTTCATGCTCCCATATTACAAATCTGTCCTCCAGTTCAGATAATCTTTCCTTAGTTTCTTTCAAGCTGTTATGCCAGCTTTCAATAGAGTTTTTAGTTTCCTGGTAATCTCTTTGAACCTGCTTCACATATTCTATGTTTTCTCTATTTTCTCCATCAAACAATTCTCCCCTTTTTTCTGTTCTTCCATTCCACCATCTATTTTTTCTTGGGCAGTGCTTAGCATTTCTCTAACTATTCTACTTATGTCTTGCTTTAGGTTGTTAAAAACTTTACTTTTGAACTCGTCTATGAGGCTCTGGAGATATCGCTTTATGCCTATTCCTGCCATGTCTGATATTGCATGTTTTCTGTCCTCATTCTCCTGTGCATTTACCTTTCTTGGATCAGTGTTCTCAGGATTGGGGGCTGAGGACCCTTTCTTGTTGCTCCCTCTTCCCATACTTTTTGTTACTTCCATACAAGCATATATAGGAGGCCCAGTTTCTTTCTTTGTTGGTTACAGTTTGTTTGAATCTGCCAGCTAGGTGTTCCCGCCCACTGCAGTGTACTAGGGAGACACAGACCTGGGCAGCCTCTGCTGGGCCCACCACTCCAGGTCAACCTACTGAAGGCTTCACTGCTAGGGTACACCACCAAGTGCTGGGACCTTGTTTGGACTAGCCTACTGGGTCTTAGTCAGCGGTGTCTCCCAGGCCAGGCACTCCCCACCAATCCCGCTTGGGAGGGGAATATGTGACTAAAGTCACTGCAGCATCCTGTTCCGGCTAGTCTGCCCGGTCCCAGAATGTCCTCTGTTGGAGCCTCCTAGTCTATGAAAGGGTCCCCACTTCTCTCACTCACTGCAGGTCAATGCAGGGCCCCCGCCAGTCCTGCTGTCAACTCCGTTTGCTGATTCCTGCTCTTAGAGCTTTCGCATCTCTGTCCCTGCCATGCAGTTTCAGATGCAGCAGTGGCAGCAGGAAATTCAAATCACATGGGTTCCAGCTTCGGTGCTGAGATTTTATCTGTCTGGTTATAGCACCAGGATTGCATTTGCAGTTGGTTTCTCTCAGCTTAGTTCATTCCTGGGTCGACAGGGTATATCTCCCTCTGCTTAGGACTCCTCACACCACACCATTCCTGGATTCTAAGCTGGCTATCTCAGAAAGCCTCCATTAGCTGCTGTTATCTATCTGCCATAGTCTCCCAGAAGTCTTATGATGCAAATCTTAACCTGAAATATAAACCTTTTTCTCATCTCACCTAGATCTTCCTTCAAGATAGAGCAAGCCACTGGTTTTAAACTGTAGTGGGTTTGAGAATCCCTTGGAGAACATGTTAACTAGACTTTCGGAGTGTAACTGTAGAATTTCCACTTCCAGAGGTCTGAGGAGATGCCTGGGCATTTGAGTTTAACAAAACTTCTAGATGCTGCTGGTTCAAGGGCCTCTCTAAGTAGGAAAGAGACTATTTTTTTCTGGCTTCAGTTTCATGTACTTCTCTTTTCATAATGGTAAAACATAGTGCTGCAAACAGGCACAATATAGACTTGGCCGGAACTGTCAGCCTGTGTATGTGGTCGGGGATTCCTTTATTCATATGATGAGAAGACGGCGCAGCTTCTCTGAACAGCTCTGCCCCTTTTCTCTCCATTTGATTTCTTCTACATGGCTTGGTTGACCTGGGGTTTCTTGACTCTTTGACTGATTCCCTTTATATCTACCACTATCTTTTCCTTCATCTGTATAACAGGGTGCCTTTCTGATTCTCTTTCAGATCAGTATTTTCCACCCATCATTCCTGTTTAGGAAAAGATATCTTTTGAAATACCTTTATAGCCTTATAACAGTCCCATTTTTGATACTATCCTGTCTCTATTGTTTATTGCTCTTTTTCTTCATATTCATTTGGCATTAAAATATTAATACTATCAGGAAACCTTATTATGAACTTGCTTGCAAAGCTATAAAAATACTTAAGCTACTGATCTTCTACATTCCTGTAACCAATCTGAATTGTTAGCTGTAGAAGCAATATCTTTTTGCCTTTTTAGAGGTGATTTGGTCTATGCCCTGTGACTTCCCAATTAATTTTCCATTTTTTTCAATCCAGGTATAATTTATATTCTGTAGCCACCACTACAGTAGAGATAGAGAACATTTATATCATCTCCCAAATTTCCCTCATGCCTCTTTTTGTAGTGCTTTCTCCTTTCCTGCCAGGCTTTGACAAGTACCAATCTCTTTTGAGTCTATAATTCTACCTTTTCTGAGTCTAGCCACTTTGGCTTAGCACAATGCATTTAATTTATATATGTGATTCATTCAGCTGTTGATTGTATCCATTGTTTACTCCTTTTTATTGATGAATAATATTTATCATAATTTTCTGTTCCCAAGGTATTTTTAATCGCTATTTTTATCCTTTAAATTTAATAATTTGTTTAGTTTTTTTTTGAGCACTACAAAGAAAATTTCCTGTGTATTCTATGTGGGAATCAAATTAAGTTGGAATAGGTATGAACAAGCTCTGTATTTCTGCATGTTACATATTCCTGATGCTTCTTAGACCTGTCATAACCAACTCTCAGATTGGGACATACCTATCCCACAGGATCAAAGTCCTTTCAATTTGCAGAAATGACATAAGCTCTGTTGTGTAAGATCATTTCTGCTATTTGCAGGAGGCATGTAAGAAGGCCTCTTCTTCCTGGTAGATTCTGTTTTGCTTTTTCATGCTGGGACATAATACACAGCACCCATAATTTAAGGGAGGAGGAGATTATTTTGGCTCATGTTTCACCTTTTTCAATTCATGTTCAGCAGACTTGAACATGGACACAACACGGCAGAAGAGTCCCCTGTAGAGGAAAGCTGCTCACTTCAAGGTGGCCAGGAGCTATGGGGCAGATGTATCCTTCTAGGTCACACTCCCAGTGACCCGCTCCTTTTGCCAGACTGTCTCCTAACAGCAAATCATATCACTTCCATGGTTCAGTCATCTTCCAAAAGCCCTGCCTTAGAGCATGTGAGGCCTTTGCAGGACATTCTTCAGGCCATAATAGGTTTCAAATCATAAACATGTATTCTTGATAATTTGAAACCAGCTTGCCTCTTCTTTCATTGTGCTGCAGGTTCTGTATGCATCAGTGTTTTGTTCCAGACAAACCAGAATATGAAATCCTATCACATTCTTGATTTATTCCCCACAGACTGGAGCTCCCACAGCTTTGTGGATAACTGAAGCCATGATAGTTGGCCAATATGAAGAAGCCTGGTCTATCAAAGATAACGTAACCAACACAATAAGACTATCCAATATATGTGATGAAAAGTATGAATATAATATAACGTATACTATAAAGATCCAAAGGATTATTTCCATTTAATTAACTTTTATTCTGGGCTTCAGAAGCCCAGTTATGGTCAAGCATATCATATCATGATATTGCTTCAGTGGTTCTTAGTTATAACTAGAAATAAAACTGTAAAAAGTGTGTTATACTTAAACTTGAATTTAGTTCATGGCATTTATTCTTGCTCTTAACCAAAATGCCTAGAGGTAATTAGTTCTTACATTTAAAGAAGCAATTCTAAAGATTGAGGATAGGTAAGTTTAATGCCAAATGTCCTCAACTGATCTTATAATGAAGATTTTATTTTATTTTTTAATTTTAAAGAGGATAAAACAGAATAAAACCAAAATCAAAACAAATCAGTGTAAGAGGTCAGGTCTTAAAACATTACAAAATCAACAATAGTTACCATAATGCCTTTTGATGTCTTCAAAATAGCTGCAGATAACTTTGGACATAGCAAAAATCAAACAGAACAGAATAGAATAGAAACAATAAAAACAAAACAATGAATGTGATAAAAGACTTCAAAATAAGCCTATAGTAAATCCAAAATTGCTACCATAATGTATCTTGTTATCTTTGAAATAGCTGCTCCTGCAATTAGATTTGACATAACCAAACCAAACAAAAGAGAGTAAAACCCAATCCAACAAAACAAGGGAAATGATATATAGGACTTCCAAAACAAGACCATAAGGAGTCAGCAATGGCTGCAGCCCTCAGAAGGAGATTCCCCCTAGATGTCACACTGCTTACCACTACCCTCTGAATGCATAGGCCCTAGACCTGAAATGTTAGTGAAACACTAAAGTGCCGCAGGCATCCAATCGCATTTCACCTCCACAGCTATCATCAGAGCCTGTGTTTCTTCCATGGTGGGGGAGGGGGGTGGAGTGGGGTGGGGGAGGGAAGGCTATTTCTTGTTTGCCAGCCCTCCAAGGGAAGCAGCTGGGCTCAGGCTGTTCCACGCTGGCAGCGGTGTGCTCGTGGCGCTGCTTCCTAGACTGGGTTTGCTCCTTGCTGATGTGTCCTTTGTTTTCTCTGTTATTTAGCATTTTAAAATAGAATAATTATTCAGCATTTCATCATACATGGGTCTCAGAATATTACCATAGTTCCCCCCAAAAATCATCTATTTTAAAAGAAAATAATTTTGAAGAATATCCTTTGAGTTCATTTAGATATTGAATATTTTATTAATTTCATTTACTAATGCATGAGAGTTAAGATCAGAAATATATAGGTTTTAAAAAAGGTAGATAAACTGACATTTCTATTTATCTTTTTTCTTATACAGGTGTTTGCTTCAGAATGGTAAGTCATTAGACTATTTTTTCTTGCCATTTTTGCTTATGTTTAATCACAAAGATAAGTAGTTTTCTACATAGTAGTAGTTAACTGTTTATTTTCTGTCTGACAGCAAATAAAGAAATATATAGCTTTTTTCCAATTATTGATTGTGATTTTTATTTAAGTGGTCTTTAAAAAGTATTCTACTAAAAGCATTACTGCCTTTCTAGTTTTTAGTTATTTTCTATAGTGTGTGTGTGTGTGTGTGTGTATGTGAGAGAGAGAGAGAGAGAGAGAGAGAGAGAGAGACAGGGTCTTCAGAGTTACTGGGATTACAGACATGTGCTCCTGTACTAATTTTCTGTAACTTTCCCAAGTACTTCTCTTGGAGTGATTGAAATTAGGCATTTTGATTTAGGTATATTGTGGTAAGTGTGGGGTCTCCCACATTCTGGATGGAAAAACCTTTTAGGCAACAGAGTACATTTTGGGGTGCAATGCTAATGTTCCATATGGATTGTTCCCTGATTTTTAGTGATTCAAGTTCCTTGCCTCATTTTAAATTTTTTTCATTGTTTTGTCTTAAATTTTTATTTTTACAAACACTCCTTTTGTGAAAATGAATTCTGGATTATTGTTTCACCTACTGTCTGACCTAAGAGTCATCAGATTAGTTGTCTGGGTTTCAAGCTCCTAGGAATTCCAGTATGTTCTCATCAGAAAAGTACATTTTAAGATAGCCGTGTCCTGCTTTCACAGTTCAGCTTGTCTCCACTTTCTTCTTTATTATCTTGACTTGTTTTAAGAATCAACACTAAATCCATCTCAGTTGTAACTGTTTCAGTTTGTGCTGCCGAATGCAATTGGACTGTGGAGTTATAGTGATCTTGACCACTCTGACCTCCAAACAGAAAACTGTTTTTTGTTTTTTATTTTTTGGCAGTGTTGGCAATAAGCCCCCACACTTAACTTATTGGTGCAGAAATAAAGAGCAAAGCAGACACCAAGAAATCTCAACAAGGCAAGCTTACATCTTCAGAAGGGTAGCTGCACCCCTAAGCTTAGGTGGCAGCAGCAGGTGCTCTGATATCCTAATGGTGAGGAGCGGCTGACCTGTTTTCACAGGTTGGGTTGAAGGTTAACCATCTGTCCTCACTGGCTAGTCCAAGTGGGATGAGCGGAGGGCCAGAAGGTTTGACAGCAGGAAGTTAGGACCACAGTCACCTGAATGTCCGAGGCAGGTGTTCCTGTGTCCAAGCCTAAATTCTTTATAATTGTAACAGCTGCAACCCTGGTACATGCCTAGGGAGAAGTAAAGCTTAAGAGGGAGGCACTCCTGATGCTACCCCTCGATAGAAAAGATAGCCTACAGTTTCTCACAGTAGTGTTGTGGTCATACCTAGCATGCTGTACCTCTGCGGTACATCCTAGCCCTTTTAAAATTTTTCTCTTTTTAAAATTTTGATGCATAGTCTTACTAAATTGATAAGGCTGGCTTTGAACTTGTGGTCCTCTTGCAGTGGCCTTCTGAGTAGCAGGGCTTACAGGCACATACCACCATCCCCAGCTTGTTTTTGAAAAACTCTGGTAGACTGAATCCACAAGTTTTTACTATGATGTGGTTACATCCTTCAAAATCAAAATATTGCTTGTTTTTTCATTTTCTAGAAGAAAATTGAATTTGAAACTGGGAAAAAGAATTTTTAAAATGATCAAGATATGTATACGTACCAATACTTTACAATGAATATATTATCTATCATAAACATATACTAATAAAAATTTTAAAAAAGAATTCTAGGAGAGACAAATTTACCCACAGAGAATTATAATATTTGTGTCCCTGACATTTTACAAGGCTGGAGTCTAAACCAGGGCCTTATGCTGGCCCAGGGCCTTATCCCCAGCCTTAGTTATATTTGTTGACAAGTTCAGAGTGAATAAAGACTGTAAGAATCTTTTACACTTACACAGAGTCAGTACATCTAGGCTGATGTTTTTTTAACTAGTTTAATTTTCTTATTAAAATTGTTTCCCCTCATTTTAGTTAAAAACTTCAAATATTTTGTATTTTTTCTGCCTATGCATACTTTATGTTGATCATAAAGTGATTGAGAATCTTGGATTGATTATCATTGGGAACTCAGATTAATAGTAATTTAGTATTAGCAGGTGTGAGGGAAATGCAACTGGATTTTGTAGATCCCAAAGCATCATCATAGAAACTGGTTCAAAATAATTCCCCTATCAGTTTATATTTTCATAATGCACTTGTCTTTATTGAAAGGAGAATTTACTAAAAGACATATGTAAGTGAAGGTTCTTATAAACAGAGGTGTTGCTGTAGATCAGCTACATGAATGTTGGCACAGAGTGTATTTTTAGAAAAAAATGACCATGAGGATAACAGTTTCTGAAAATTAGATCAAGTATGTTATGAGTTCAGATTTTTGATAATGGCCTTCTTCTGTCTCATTTTCTCCTGAAACCAGTACACTGAAGGTGAAGCTAAGAAAATCGGAGTGGTAGGCTGGGTGAAGAACACCAGCAAAGGCACCGTGACCGGCCAAGTGCAAGGCCCCGAGGAGAAGGTCAATTCCATGTGAGTAGCCAGACTGATAATGTGTGCATGAAATTTCTGAAGCTATTTTAATGTTTCACTGGACAAGAAGAATGGTACTCATGTGCCAAATTTAGTTTATAGATCATAATGAAGCACATATTTTTAGGCAGACCAGTGAAGAAAATCACATTAGGGAATCTGATCTTATTAAAAAGTTTTTGCACAGCAAAAGAAATCACCCAACCCTAAATATCATAGAATGGGAAAAAATTTTATCCAGTTGTCCTTCAGACAAAGGACTTCTATCTAGAACAAAGAAAGAACTGAAAAACATCAGTCCCCCAAATTCAAAGACCCAATCCAAAAATGGGCATCTGAAATGAATATGTACTTCTCAGATGGAGAAATACAAATGGCAAATAAATATATGAAGAAATGTTCAGCATCATTGGTCCTTCGAGAAATGAAACTTAAAACAACATTGGGATTCTGTCTCACTCCAGAAAGAATGGCTAACATCACAAAATCAATGATAACAAATGCTGGTGGGGCTGCAGGGAAAAAGGAACCCTTCTCCATTGTTGGTAGAAGTGTCGACTGGTGCAACCACTGTGGAAATCAGTGCGGAGATTCCTCAAAAAACTAGGGTTGGAGGTCCTATTTGACCAACTATTCCCCTTTGAAATGAAATGAAAAAATTGAAAACATCAATATATGTGCATGTTTATAAACAGCACATTTTTTTTATTTAAAGAGGATAAAACCAAGGAAAATAAAACAAAATAAAACCAATGAAACAAATCAGTGTAAGTGACACAGGACTTCAAGACAATATGAAATCAACAATGGTTACCATAATGCCTCTTTTTGTCTTCATAATAGCTGCAAATGCCTTCAGACATAGTAAAAATCAAACCAAACAGAAAGAATAGAACCAATAAAAACAAAACAATGAATGTAATAAAGGATTTCAAAACAAGACAATAGTAAATCCAAAATGCCTACCATAATATATTTTACTATCTTTGAAATAGCTGCCCATGCCATTGGATATAACAAAATCAAACAGAACAAAACAGAATAAAACCCAGCCCACCAAAACAATGAAAATGATGCAGGACTTCAAAACAAGATAATAGGGAATTAACAATGGCTACTACCCTCAGAAGGAGATACCTCTAGGTGCCACGCCTGCATGTATAAACATCGTCCCTAGTGTAAAAAATTGAGAGTAAATAAGATATAAAATGTGCAATAGATATTGTGAAAGTGAAAGGGAAAGAAACTGCTCAAAAGGTAAGAGCAGCTGGGATAGGGGAAAGGAGGAAGAAAAGGGAAAAGATGATATGTCTGTATATGTATATTTATGTACACAGATATATGATGTAGTGGATAACTGCACTACTCATCTCTGTTCATCAAAAAGAACAGTTTGTGTTTTTATTGCTTGATTACTTGATCATTTTTTCATGCCTATATCTTGTAACCTGAGCAACTACTTTGACGATAACAATACCTAATATATTAACCAGTGTTAATCTATTAATTTTGTTTTAAAATTCTGTATCATCATTTTTGTTTTGTTTTGTTTTTTTTTAAATCACATGGGTAAAATTTCACTGTATGTACAGGAATGGATTTCTCCCTTGGGTAGGTTTCAGAAGGAGTATTGCATCATTCCCTGGTCCATTTGAATTTGTCCTCTCCAGTCTGTCTAATGTGGGAGGCTGTGGAGAACCCGAGTATTTCTCATTGGAAATGTCTGGACAGAAGCATAGTGTCTTAAGATGGTTCTTGAAGCTCCTAAACTGCAAGGCAAAAAACTACATTCTCCTCTTTGTCCCCCTCCTCCTCCTCTTCCTCCTCTTTAGTCTTTTAGAGACAGGGTTTTGGCATGCAGTTCAGCCTACCTTTAAACTTACTTTGTAGCCTAGGTTGACCTTGAACTTGCAGCCATCCTCCTGCCTTAGCCTCCCGAGTGCTGGGATTACAGGTGTGCATCACCACGCCCAGCTATCTCCTTTAAACTGTATTTTTGTTGTTGTTGAGACAAGGCCTTGCTTTGTAGTTTAGACTGGTCTTATGCAGTTTAGGCTGGCCTCGAACTCATGGTTATCTTTCTGCCTCAGCCTCCTGAGTGCTGGAATTAGAGGTATGTGCCCCCACACCTGGCTTTAAGTTCCTTATTTTTTTTATTGTAATTTTATTTTTACTGTCAATCAAGGTGTGTTTAGTAATCTGGATGGTCGTAATAATGGGTCCTTGTAGTCCTCCGGGACACAAGGTTCCCTAATATGCAGAACAGTGCTGTGTATATAGATGTCATTTTGAAAGCCTTTGTCTTTTTCAGCTTCATAATTTCTGCAGTCTTTTGCTTTAATAAAAATAGCTTAAATTGATTGAGCTTTCAGACATACTGAATATACTAAAAGCACTTTGCATGGATTAGGTTATTTAATCTTTACAGCAGATCCTGTGTGGTAGGTACTAAATAATTCCCAGTGTATTTTATTTTATTGTTTATAGATTATCTTTGTTTTCATTGCTTGTATTTTCAAGTTTCAAGCAGTATTTTTTACTTATCACTGTTGTTGTAGTAAGAGAAGTAATATAATGCTGGGAGCTTTCAAGGCGAATTTAGTAATCTGCCTCTTCTTATTTCCTTCTCCTTTATGGTTTTGGGCAACAGCTTTCTCTGATACTTAAAAATATACTGAAGTACATTTATAATTAAGATTTTGATGTTGTTACCACAATAGAATACTTTATGCATATTTTTCTCTAATTTATATTACATTTTATTACATTTCAACACTTAATCAGTGTGTGTTACTTATTTTTTTTCTAATTTACTGTTCTTGAACTTATGTGTAAAAACATGTCCCATCTTGATAAGTAGAGTCCAGAGTTTCAGTTTTATACATGCGATGGGTTATCAGTTAATGAAAACCAATATTTTTCAGTAGAATTGTCACAAAATGCACCAAAGATTGTGTGGCTTGTATTGTACAGAATGATAGTTCAGCAGATGAGAAAATGCCAAAAGGTTATGAAGTGGTTCAAGAATGGGGACTCTGTGGAAGATGGGGCTCGTGCCAACCCCAGCATATTCCTGACTCTCATGCTAGCAGGGCTTTGATTAATTCACTTAACATAAATAGATCATATGTCCTCCTTTTTGCTTTTCAACCCCTGTGTTAGTCACATCCCTCCTCTTTGCAGGTACTGTGGTATAGCAAGCTGGTAGGTGGGAGTCCGTCCACACTGGTCTTCACAGCCGCTCCTGCTGGCCTGTCACACTTATGCACAGACATTTTACTTTTATGGGTTTTCATGGAGGCAGTTGGTTATCTTGGGTTCATTCTACTTAATGGCTGTTTAGCATTGCACAGTATAGATGCATTATTATTTATTACCTTATTACTAGGAACTCATTTTTTATTTGTTTCTTGTTTTTCACCATGCAAGCAGTGATGCAGTAAACATTTTATTGGTTTTATTTTTATGGGATTGATTTGCAGTAGTGTGATTTGTTGGTTGAAGTGCCTGTGTATTTTTAGTGTAAAAATATGTATCAGATTGCTTTCCAAAACAGCTGTAAATAATTTACATTTTTGCTCCTCATCCTGTAGACAGTTAATTTTATTGCTAATTTTTCTTTTATCTGATTGGCTGTTGAGTGATTACTGTTTCACTGTAATTTGTATTTTTCTAACTCTTAGTACATTGGAGCATCTTCATGGCGGTAGCTCTGTGGATTTGTTTTCATGCTGTCACATCTTTTCCATATTTTTTTTCTTTCAGTTGCTTATCTTTTGCCAATATGTAAAGGTCTTTGTGTACTGGTAATGATTAGTCACCCTTTATCTGTTATTTCTCTTGAAAGTATTTCTCCAAATCTATCATTAGCTTATTAAGAGTTTATAGCAGTTTTTGCAGCCTAAATTGTTTTAATGTTTGTAAACTTGAATATGGCTGTCTTTTATTTCTGGTTAAGAAACATTGGTGAGTGTTGTCGCTTAGGTTTTCTTTTAACTTTTGATGGTTTATTACATTTAATCATTTATTCCATCTAAGATTTGTTTTATGTGATAAGGAACTACTTTCTGCCAGATGGATAGCCAGTTGGGCCAGCACCATTTATTAAATAACCAGTCTTTTCCTCATTGGACTTAAACAGATTTTTCTCATGTTTTAAAATTTCATATAAACTGGACTTTATTTCTGGATTCTGCTTTATATCATGACCAGTTTATCAAGTTATCTATTCTGACACCCATACTCAATATAGATGTAATTACAGTATCTATAGGATATTTCCTCTTTTTTAGAATCTGCTTTCTTAGGCCTTTTTTTCCTCTAACGCTTAAGATATCTTTCTTCACTTAATTGGAATTGTATTATATTTATTTATTTTATGGAGTTGCTTTTTATTATTGATGTATATAAATAGTTGCTTCATATGTACAAATGAGGACACAATCATTAATTTTACATTGTATCATTTGTATTTTTTGCATTCTTTTTTCACTTTTTGTAATTGGTTATATAGATCAGTGGCTTTCATTTTGGAAGATTCATATTTTTACATAATATATTTTAATTATTTTCACCCCATCCATCTCTTGTTCTATCCTACCCACTTATTTTACACTTTTTTGGGGGGTGCTTTTAGTGTATAAAATATATTTTTCTCATATTTTATTACCTGCTTTTCTATCCCTCCCCACTTTTTATTCCCTTCATCTTGTCTAAAAATAGTCTCTCTTCACCTTTCTTGTCATGTTTTTAGATTCCACATATTAGGGAGAACATGCAATACTTGTCTTTCTGAGTCTGGCTTATTTAGCTTAATATGATGGTCTCTGGATTCCTCCATTTTCTTGCAAATGACAGAAATTTGTTCTTCCTTGAGGCTGAGTATATTCCATTGGTATATAATGCAACATTTTCTTTATCCATTTGTTATGGATTATGAACTGGTGGTCAACTTAATGCCAGCTGGATTACATCAGCATGGCATTGAGTGAAGATGCTCC